TGTGCCATGCTGTTGCACTGCAGGCGCCAGCTCAGTACACTTGTGGTTTCAGCTGCGTCGTGCCTGTGCCTGTCAGGTCTCGCGAAGGCTACAGCCGTTTTTGCAAGGTTGTAGACTTCCATAGAGTGCCGGAGGCACTCTTGAAAATCGCGCTCTGCAAGGTGCGCCTGCCCGTGCACTCCGAGTGTGTTGTGGCAGTTCATGTCTTTGCATTTTCCCGAAAAGTGGGGCTTGAGTTTCTAGGCATAGAGTAATGGAGTTGCTGCGTGCCGAGCAGCATCAGAAGAAGAGACCCAAGCATGCTTGGGAGCAGGAGCCTCGGGGCATTGCTACTTTTGCATCAGTCTCGATGGAGGCTTCCTTCAAGTTGGGCCGCTCTGAGCACATGCTTTGGGAGCTCAGAGCTCAGCAAGGATCGAAGCAGGTGGACATTGTCGAGAATGTGAAACTGCCTGTGCTTCCTTATGCGGCTAGGAGGGCAAAGATGATGGACTGGCCTGAGATAGCAGATGACATGAAGAGGAAGTCGTTGCATCTCGTCAGGATCATGGTGGAGTCCGACTTCCATGCCACGAAGCTTGGGACCATGCTTTACGAGCTGAGTGGGAGCCTTGACAAGGAGCCTCAGATCCAGAGGACCATTGAGCTCACCTTTGCCAAGAAGGCCTCGGCTACCCTGCGTAAGAGGACTCTGGCGTTTTGGAAGATGTTCGTGTTCCACGTGGATCGGGGACATAAGTCTGGGCTTCATATGAGCGAATCCAGCCTCTTTCTGTACTTCGAATCGCTGCAGGGTGGGGCCGCTACCGCCCCGCAAAGTGCCCTTGAATCAATATTCTTCATGCACACCCTCCTGGGCATTAGAGCACCGATTGAGGACCTGGTGTCGCATCGCATCAGGGGCCTGGTCCACGAGGCAGCCATAACGAAGAGACCCTTGAAGCAAGCGAGGGGGCTCACGGTGGAGGAAGTGCGGTTTCTTGAGAGGCTCGTGACAAGAAGTCCAGACACGGCCGTTGTGTGCATTGCAGGGTTCTTCCTTTACGCCCTCACAAACAGCGCGCGGTGGGGTGATGCCCAGGCATCTACTCTGCCGACCTTGGATACCTCGGGATCGCGACCAATCTTGAGCTCTGGTACGCTTCGGCACAAGTTGGCGAGCACGGCCGAGCGGAAAACCACTCTGCTGCCCTTCGTGGGATTTGGTCAGCTGGTGACTAGCACGGCTTGGGCGACGAAGTGGCTTGACGCCATGAAGAGGGCACGCCTTCCCAGGACTGGCGTGGACTACCTGATGCCTTCTTGGAATGAGTCTTCGAGCCAGTTCATCCGGAGGCGAATGACGAGTGGCGAGGCCACTCTTCACTTGCGTGAGATCCTCAGTCAGATGGAACAACCCCTATTGCAACCTCTGCCATCTTCGCATAGCCTGAAGGTTACGCTGCTCGCTTGGATTTGTAAGTCAGGACTATTTTCCTTGTCTGAGAGACAGATCATTGGGCATCATCTTGATCGGCCGAGCACTAGTGCACTCACCTACGGAAGGGCCAATTTCGTGGGCCCCTTGGGAAAAGTGGCAGGCATGCTCGCTCGGATCCAGGACGGCTCCTTTAGGCCGGATGCTTCGGCGGCAGATCTTGTCGCGCAGCAGCTTCATCAGGAGGAAGCAGCGTCTGATGAGCTGGAGCGGAAATTGCATGGTGATCCTTGCGCTTGTGAGGACAGTGCCTCAGATGACATGGGGCATGATGATGCTGATCAGGCGGTCGCTGCAGCGGTGCCGGCGGCCGAACGCCGCATGGTGGAGGCTCCGGATCCGGACCGGTACCTGGTTCACCTGTCGTCTGCGGGATTCGATTCTGAAGCCACACGAGTGAACCACAGCGTGAAGTGGAACCGCCGAGCCACCCAGGCAATCATCGAAAGCATAATGAAGTGGTCAGGCAGCGGAGAGGAGCCCTTGATCAAGGAATCGCGCACACCGTTATTGTCGATAAAGACAAGGATGCGCCTGCCCGCCAATTCGGGGTCCCAGCTGATCAGAGACACCAGCACTGGGAAGAGCTCCAGCTGCGAGATGAGCTGAGTGCCACCATGCCTGCCCCAGTGCTCGATAAGGCATTCTGGAACAACCACCTCCGCCACCTTGGGTCCATGGTCCAGAGACTGGAGCACCGCCCCCGCACCTGCGATTCTGTTGTCCCATGCACCATCGGTAAAGAGCTTGATGGCATACCGCGAGTCAAGAGCATGTATCACCCTCGGAGAGTCCGTGGCGAAGCAAGCTGCGATGTAGCCAATCGCAAGTTTGAAATCGTCGGCCATAGCATCGTCCCAGCCGTTGGCCGCCACCTGTGACAAGAACTTGAGCGCTGGCTTAATGGGACAACCGTGAAGCTGGCCTTGAGCGAAGTTCAAGCGCCCATGCAAGGATGATGCCTCAGACCTCTTCATGTAGCCCTGCGACAAAAGCCGGTCAAGCTCAGCACGTAGTTCCACAACACGGTCCGGCTTGTTGCGCACCTTCAGGATGCCCTGGTCCGCAGTTTTAAGCGAAAGCTCAATCCCAAGCAGAGTGAAGGTCTGGGAGAACGGCTGATTCTTCTTTGGTTGCAGAGCAACATTCCAACCCAGGCAAGTGGACAGAAGCCCCACAATGAAGTCCTGAGCCGATCCCGACGAGGCCGATGGTTCCGCACAAGGAAAGTCATCGAAGTACACAGTGCAGCAAACTGAACCCATCGTCACTGCCAGATGCCACAGGGATGCCGAGCAGCGGTTAAAGGAGAAGACTGCCGATGTCGCTCCAAACATCAGAGCAGTGGACACAAAGAATGCCGGCGCGCGGCGTTCGGGACTCCAAGCGACTAACACTCTATTGAACTTCGTATCGGGCCTGCAGCCCAGTTGTTTGTAAGCTGCAGAAAGATCCAAAGTCTTGCCGAGGAGATCCAGTCCATCGCCCCAATCGGGGTGTCTCTTCACGACGAGTTGTTCCCCCGAATCGAGCTGAATCATGCTGCCGGGCTGATGCGAGCATCGGATAAGCAAGAGAACCAGGGAGATAAAGGCATCAGCGTCCATCAACCTGAGCTTGTTGTACGCCGCATAGGCAGAGTTCAGACCGCTTTTTCCTTCTCTCGCAGCGCTCAGTCTTGAGTAGAACGCCTAGCGTAGGCCCAGCATGCGCATGGTAGTTGTTATGCGCAAGGCATCTTTCAGATGCGAAGGGCACCCCGTGCCGTAGCACAAGAGCGAGTGCACCATACACGTCCGGCCCGAAAGCTCAGCAACGCGTATGCTACAGTGGAACAAAAGCACTAAGTCAAGGATCCCTAAAGGCATACGACATGGCAACAAAGTACACTGTACAACTAACGGTTTCTACCGGCGTTCAGTGGACTAAGCACTCAGAAACATGGAATGAAATGAACGAAAAGCCATATCGCATCATGCAGTGCCCCCAATGGCACTCTCCTCGACTCTGCAAAGAAAGACTGCATCACAATCACGAGCATAAAGGGTTGTATCACTCAGTTTGACAGGCTTGGCAATCTTACCATTGGTATGTGCATGCCATCCAGTCTTCTTTGAGCTCGCCCAGTAACGAGCACCGAAAGGATCACCAGGTGCACCGTGCATAACCACAGACATGAGCTGATACGGTATGTTGTAAGTTGCAACACTCTCCGCATGGAAACATGGGACATGAACTGTTGTAGGGGTTTTGCCCTGGGTGATCAATCGCCACTCACCCGATGTACTGCAGAGCCACCTTGGGGAAACAACACAAAGGATATCAGGAGCCTGGACAAGTGCACAACGAGCCCCATGTGTATGCCATTCTGAGAAAAGTGCACTCATGTCCAGATGGCATGTGTTTCCAAGGATTTCCGCCTGCAAGCAAATCGGTTGCCATGTGTCGCCAGCTTGGTTGCAAACGAACGAGCCATCAGGAGCAGCTGTTCTGGCCTCCCATCGTCCTTGCATTGATTGAGCCGCAGCCTTTGGCAGGATGTGTTGCAGCCAGCCTGTGATGGTGGGTGTTGTCGAGTCCCAGCCTTGGAGCCATGACCGCCACGGCAATGAAGAGGATAACCTGAACGATGTGCCCATAGCAAGGAATGACTTAACGGCAGGAGCGAGGCGACCTGTTAGGAAGTCCATATCATGTTGGTCAGCACCTGCCATAAGCCAAGCAAGCATGCACACCACCATGTAACCATGTCGATCATGCAAACTGAAAGCTGTAGTGAGGATCCCGGCCACCTTTAGCGCCGAAGAGCTGCCGCCATCTTTGCGATGTGCTGGGCGAGTGGTTGCAAGTTCATGCGCTCGCCGCGGATCCGAACCCCCACCAAACGAAGAGCTGCGCTGCCCGTCAAGCTGCGAAGCAGGTCGTGGGCTTGTTGTGCTCGGGTGCCCCTCATTGCCACCGACAAAATGAAGGGGAGTGTATCCCCTGTCACCGTTTCGGTGAGCTTCCTTGTCGAGTGGAAGCGGTGAATGAGCTCCTCCTTCCCTGTCATCACCAGCTGCTGCAGGTCGTGCGCAATCTGCACCATCTGAGTGTGTCCGATTGGTGGGCGGGTGGCATCCAGTTCCAATCGACGGCTCTCCGCATTCCACTGCTGAAATGTCCAATGAAGCTCCTTCTCGCCCTGCACTTTGACCCACCCCTGGGCCTCCATCTTTTTGATTGTAGCCTCGTCCTTGGTCATCATGTCGGGGCGGGTGACCCATTCCGCAAGCAGACTTTTGATTAAGGCGACCCGAAGTGAACTGGTAACCGTCGGCGGGGTTTTGTCCCGTCCCGCCTTCCAAGCCTGCGCCACCTGCCACAGCGGAGCCAGGAGACCATGTGTCCCTGACTCTAGATGCAACAGGAATTGCTTTTCGGTGCGGATAAGTTGCAGCTCCTCCTCCTGTTTCAAGGTCAGCCTGCACAAGGCTTCCACCAGCTGCTCCATGTTCGGCCGCGGATGCCTGTGTGGAGCACCCTAGTTGTTGGCATCCCAGCCGTTGGCATCCCAGCCGTGGTTGTAGTCCCAGCTGCCCCAGCTGTTGTGTCCCCGGCCTCGGCCGTCGTTGTCGCGACGTCCGCCCTTGCCTTTGCCCCCCTTCGGAGGCTGCTTGTCCTTGTTCATCTCGGGCTCCTGTCGGGACCTCTTGCCTCGGTTCGGCATTTCCTGGTCCCCCGTGGCCTCGATCTCCCACGGGTCCTGAAGGTTCACCGCGCTGATCTTCGCCAGAGCCGGCAGGCAGCCGGCGAACACATCCTGAATCTCGGTGTCCATCATGCCTGGCCATACAAAGTTTGAGGGCATGCTGCTGAAGAGGAACACAGGTATGTGCGTGATCGGCCTTCTTGATGCCTTTGGCCCCACACAGGGAGCAGGGAATGGTGATCGAGCCCGTCCACTCTGCACACAAGAGCTGCACACGAGGCTGCATGTTGCGCCAAAGCTCGCCGTGATGTCTCTGCATGTGTGTTTTGAAGCGCTGCTTGGTAATATCTGCAAGACAAACCTGACAAGTGCCACGCAAAGGTTTTATATCCTCCGCGGAAGGGTAAGGGGTACCGGCCAGGTCGGTCACATCGGCGGCCTCGGGGGGACCTCCATTCACGAACCAAGTCATGGCCAGCTGAAATAAAGCCGGGCATGTGGCACGATGATCCCTGCCTGCTTGGTCCTTATGTCCACACCATCGGCATGTGCCCTTAATGGGCGGGAGGTTGTTCATGCACCATACGCGGACACGACCACTATGCGCCTGCCACTCGTCACGATGCACACGACCATAATGAACCTTCATGTAGTTTTCATTGGGGAGCCAGGTTCGGCACAGTGCACACCTCTCGTTGAGCTCGGTCTTGAGGTCCGGGGGCGGTAGCTGATGGAAGACCTCCGGGAAAACAATTTCGTCCTCTAGGACTTTGGCTATCAACGGGGGGTGGACGTCCTCATACTCAGCTTTTGCAGTAGCCTGGCAACGGCCAAGCTCGACATGCCGCTGTAGCTCCTCCCATAATCGAAATTTGTGCCCGCAATTGATGCATTGCGGGAGGCCGTCCTTGCCGTGAAGCAGCCGGTCAAAACGTTCACCACTCGGTTTGTCCTCTCCTCGCCTGTGTGCACTGGCACGGTGCTGGCGTAGGGACGCTGCAGTTGGAAAGCATTTGCCACAGTCAGGGCAGGGCAGGTCGGCAGCAGCACCCGTTGTTGAGTCCGGCTGAACAAAATTCTGGAACTGCTGGAGAATACCTTCTTCATGCGCAAACAGTGCCGGGTCGAGTCTGACATCGTGTGGCGGGAGTTTGCCTTGGAGCTCGCGGGTCTTTTCCAAGACTCGGACCTGCCTGTGCACAAGTAGTTGCAACGGAGACTCCAGGCCTAGCCCTTCAAGAAATTGGGCGTCGGGCTCCAGGGTAATATGGCGTGGGCTTCCCGCGATGGCCCTGAGCTGCTTGACCAATTCGACCCTGATCATGGATGCACTCTTGGCTGTGAGACCCGAAGCCGTCAACGCGTAGAAGACTGTTGGCAAGATGTAGGCTTTCCATAGGCGGATCCTTTTATGTAGGGGCCAGGCACGCTTAGAGTGCAGATGTTGTCGTAGGCGATGGTATGTGGCGATTCCAGCCTGGCGTCTGTGGGCTGCAGTGTATTCTTCAAACCTAGCAAAAGAAATAATGGTGCCGAGGTAGACGTGTTGAGACTTGACGGGCAGGGTGAGGTCAGGGCCCAACATCAGGTGACACTTGCCTTCCACCTTCGTGGTGATTTTGCTGCGCAGGGCCGTTGCTTGGGAGCCGGCCAGTCGAAGAAGGATGGCTGTCTTGTCTTTGCTCACTTGTAGCCCGTGGCCCTCAAATAGAGCAACAATGTCCCCTGCTTCGGCAATGGCCTGAGTAACCTCGGCCTTGGCACGGAAAGTCCACTTGAAGAGGTTGTCGTCGGCATATCCCACCAGGTGTTGCCTGCACCAATCGGAGCCAAATTTTTGCTCTAGGAGATGGGTAAGGTAGATGACCACACAGTTCCACAATGACGGCGGAAGTCGGCAACCCTGCCTGATTCCTTGCGTTGTGCCGAAGCGCTGAGTGTGACCTTCACGTTGCACAACATAATGGGCAGCATGAACCCACTGAAGAAGCAAATGGCGAAGCTCAGCCGGGACGCCGATGTGAATCAGAGAGGCCTCCAGTAATCCCCGGTCGACCCTGTCAAAGGCCTGGGTCAGATCGATACTTAAGATCATCCCCCCTGCCAATCCCAGCGACTTGTTCCCGGCCTTCTGCTCGTACAAGGAGCGTTGTTGAGCTTGGCAAATGCTACGAACAGTTCGGCATGCATGAAAGCATGTCCCAAGGCCCGTTGCACTGACCTGTGAGGAAGAAAACCATACTGATGCTGCTCCACCATGTGTGGGATGATGTAAGTGTCGAGCTGATCGCGAAGGATTCCCGTAACCGCCTTTCCGACCGGATCTAGAAGAGCAATTGGACGGAGATGTTGAGGGGCATTCCCTGCCTTGTTGGGCTTCTGAAGAAAAGTAAGCCATGCATCGGCCCATGCGACCGGAACCGTGGCCGCTGCCTGTCTCCATGTCTGCATCAACCCGCGCTCTAGTACTCGTGCCACAGAGGGTGCAGCACAACTCCATAGAACATGTGGTGCATAGTGGGCGGGTGCGGCTTTGTTGGCCGGTAGGGCCCCAAGGGCAGACTGAATCGCCTCCTGCTGAATGTCAAAAGGCAGCGGTTCCGGTGCCTGGCTCGGGACAGATGCGGTGGTAACCTCCTTCCAATACGTGGCTAGGGCCTTAGCCTCGGCTTGTGGCATTAGCAGCGCACCCGTGCTCGACCGAAGCTGTGCTCGTGTTCGGGGCTGTTTGGGGGCATGCCTGCGCAACAAGAAGAAAAGTTGATCCACACGGTTGAGGTAATCAGCAGCCTCGGCCCGACGAAGAAGTTCGTTGAAACGGTATCGCCGGAGAAGTCTGCTGTTGCGGGCCACAATTTTATGCATTTGCTGAAAGCGAAAATGGCACCTCCAAGCACGAAAGCACGCACGAAGACCTGAGACACAAAGCCGAAATTGCTGGCTGGCAAGTCTGCGCTGCAACCACATGTTCTTAATGGTGCCCACATGTTGGTGATGTTCCCAGGGCGGCTGCAAACTGCTTTGTCGCTCGATGGAAAAATTTTGCTGGCCGGCCTTCAGGATGATGCTGTTCACTTGCTCCGGTGTGTAAACAGAAACTTGGCTCAGCTCATGTTCGACCTGTGCCTGGAAGGCCTGCACATCCGGACCATTCTGAGCAATCCTGGCAGTGAGCAAGGTACACTTCCATTGTGGCCAGGATGGTTGAGGCCGGGGCTTCACGAACTGAAAACGCCTGAAGTGCAATGTGACTGCCACAGGTAGATGCCGTCCACCTCCACGCCAGCGAGCCACTGGACAGTCACCAATGATGCGAGAGGCTGTCCTGAGTGTAGCACCTCGCCGCCTGACCATCACATAGTCCAGGAAGGATCGGTACTGCTTACCGCGTTGTTCAAGAACATGGGTGTAGCTACCATGCTTGCCGAAAGTGTTCACAGCCTGCAACCCAAAGTCCTGCAAGATGCCCAGCATGTCGTCTGAGTCCAGGGAGGCCTCCTTCTCGCCGTCGCAAGTGCCTGCACCTATGCAAGGAGGGGTGGGCTTGGTGATCGTGTTGAAGTCGCCACAGAGAAGCAGCTGGCTGCCTCGAGGAATCTGACCAAGGGTGGTGCGTAATGCCGTCCACACCTTTGAGCGTTTCTTCACGATCTCGGTGTCGCTCTCTCTACTCCCCCATGCATGCATGTAGGTGCCTACGATGTCCACCCAGCCGTGTTTGCTCTGCGCCCGAACATGGAGAACTCTGCCTGCAACTACATGATTGTAGCGAATGGTGCCGCTGTCAAAGACCGACCTCTTGAGCATGATCATGACTCCTGCCTGTGCTCTGGACACCGAAGTGCCCACGCCGCTTTGGACACATGTCCACTCGCCCGCAACAAACTCCGAGCTTTCCCTCATCCAAGTCTCCTGCAAGCAGACCGCGTCACATGAACATGTTTTGAGCCATGTGTAAAATTCGTCCTTGCATGTGGAAAATCCGCCGCAGTTCCAAGTCAAAAGCTTGATCGCCGCTGATGCCTGGGAGTTTGCACCGGATGTGGTTGGCTTTGCTGAAGGAGTGTGCTGCGCCGCTGGGCGATACTGGGCTTGAAGCTCGTGAGCCTGCATGATACGACCACGGTAGCGAGCAAAGCCATCCCGACCTGCTCGCGCGACTGCTCGTTTGTATGATCTTTTCCGGGAAAAACTGTAGCTATGTTGGCCTCTAGCACAAAGTTTCGCAGCACTGGTCGAAACGTCTTCTTCATCATGAGCGCTGCTCCTCAGAGACGTGTGCTTCGCCTCTGAACCCTCGCCTCTGCTGTCCAGAGCTCCCTGTCGAGACCCAGACTTCACAGCCGACGGACTTGGGACCGTCGCGGCCACATCACATCCATGTAAATCTGCTGCTGTTGTAGTGCTCTGTAGAATAAAATTGTCATGATTCATGCCAAATAAGGAAATCGTGAAAATCGTGTAAAGGAAAACCATGAAAAGTTGCACCAAGCGCAGTGAACAGAGGCACCGACGGCTGCTGAAAACCATGCGAATCTACAGCTACCCCGCCCCACCCACCACTCGCAGCAGAAACAGGATTGAGCCGAGAGGCTTAGTTCAGACCGCTCTGAAGGCCGTCATCTATGATGCGAACCTTCGGCCCTTGGACGATGGGGAATCTCCTGGTGCACATCCACTCGGCGCTGCCGAGCCTCTCACTGACTTCACTCTCATCCCAATAGGGTCCATCGATCCAGCCCTGCTCGACTTCGCCAAGCGTCTGCGACCACAACTCTGCGTCCGCAACCCCATCGCCAGTCGGCTTGCGCTTGGAGATGGTGTTCTTCCTTCGCCACACCGCTTGCTGCATAAGCTTTTCCACCGACTGCTGCGGCGGCTTGTAAGCCATCGGGAAGGCCCCCGAGCAGTTCGCCGGACCCACAAGTTCAAAGCCTCCCCTCACCTCGTCGATGAGGCCCGGGTCAGGGAATTGAGTCTCTTTAAGAAGCTGCTCCCACAATATTGTGTTTTTCCCCACAAGAACTTTACGAAGATCCGGATGCAGGCCACTATGAAGCTCGCGTTCACGATCTTTGAGCGCCTCCGCCCTGCCCAGCAGCTTCTGCAAGACCGTAGCACGATGAAAAGCAATGCCCCGAGGTCCTACTCTAAGGGCGTTCACGACGGCCTTCACAAGGATGTCTGGCAACGGAAGATTCAGTTCAAGTGGATGGGCCAAGCACCTGCAGAATGATCCGCCCTGGGGACGGGACTAGCCCGCGCGAAGCGCGCGAAGACGCGCGAAGCGCGCGCGCGAAGCGCGGGCGCGCGAAGCCGCGCGACGCGCGCGCGAAGCGCGGGCGCGCGAAGCACGCGCGAAGCCGCGCGAAGCAAGCGAAGCCGTGCGAAGCCGCGCGAAGCGGCGCGAAGCCGGGCGCGCGCACACGCACGAAGCCTCGCGAAGCAGCCTGCGCGAAGCCACGCGAAGCGCGCGAAGCCGCTATAAAGCCGCGCGAAACCGAGCGCGCGCAGGGGCACGCGCGAAGCCATGCGAAGCAGCCCGCGCGAAGCCGCGCGCGCAGGTGTGCGCACGCAGAGTGCGCGCAGGTGCACGCGCGAAGCCACGCGAAGCAGCCCGCGCGCGAAGCTGCGTGAAGCCGTGCGAAGCCGCGCGCGAAGGTGCGCGCACGCAGGTGCGCAAAGCCGGCGTCTGGTGCGCGAAGCCGCACGAAACATACCCAGATGCGCGCGCGAAGCATGCGCCACAAGTCACGCGAAGCAGCTCTCGTGAAGCCGCGCGAAGCCGGCGCGAGCCGCGCAAAGCACGTGCGAAGCCACGCCAGCAGCCTGCATGCGCTTCGCTTCGCGCGAAGCCGCATGTGTATGTGCATGTGTGTCTGTGGTGATTTATATATGTATGTATTTATTATGTATGTATGAAATCCCCTCATCCGTTTAATAAAACGACGATCCATCGCTGGCCGCGAAGGTGCAAAACAAAACAAGCGAGCTCTGGATCTGCCTGCACAGGGAGTGAAGCTGACACGTGGGAGAGAGAGAAAGTGATCGAGTCTGTAGAGGGCAACCACATCATTACCCAACATAGCTCGGTGGGGTGAGCGACAAGGAACATCATCAAGATCAAATCCCCACGCAAGTAGTAGTAGCAGTAGTTGTAGTAGTAGCAGCAGTGTAGCAGTAGTGGTAAGTAGCACGACATCAAGGGAGCTGGTGCTCGCCTCTTCGAGCATATCAGTCATTATAGGGTCAATCGAGTCAGTTTCACACCAAGTGCGTGCACCGCGGCAATCGCCCGCAATGTGCTGAGCCCGGTCGCACAGCGTTCAATTGAAACTAGTAGTAGTAGTAGTAGTAGTAGTAGTAGTAGTAGTAGTAGTAGTAGTAGTAGTAGTAGTAGTAGTAGGGCCTGTAATCACTCACCTGGCATGTCTACATACCACAGACATGCGTCGGGCCGGGACGCAGCGCATGTCACCTTGCCGCCGGAGCTGCGCCGTCGAGTCGACGCTATCGCCGAACTCGTGCCTGCCGTTTTATCACAGCAGGGCAGCTACGTAGTCAACGGGCTCAGTTCATGTTGACCATGCTAGCAGATCAATGTATAACACAGATGAGGAAATGCTGTGCCATCTGTGCCACAAGCAGGACCTCGCACGACACGAATCAGCATACACGCAGAGACAAAGCTCCAAGCTACAGCCAGCCAAAGCACAAGCATTCTCCTAGTTGTAGGTCTGCCAGCCTTCGTCATGGTGAAGCGAGCCGCGAAATGCATGCTGTGCAGCAAAACGCGCGCTCTGCGCGAAGTCAAGAAGGAAAGCCTGCTGGAGGCTGCGAAGGCAGCTGCGAAGAAGCCACTTCCGAGGCGGTGGGGGTCGACCTCGTTTGCATCGGGTCTGCACGTTAATTACCTGTTAGCTTACGTTGGAGTCAGGACAACAGTACTGTGAAAGGCCGCGGCGAGGGAGGTCTCTGCAGAGGCCGCCTATCAGGACTCTTTGCAGGGTTTAGGGGTCTTGGTTCATGGGTTCCTGTTGGAGGAGGTGTCATGTCCTTGGCATAATTCTGTCGTTTCTCAGCATCATCCCGGAAGACAGTGACGGGGATGTTTGATCTTGGCTCCTTGTTCAGAGGGTTTTGGGGTTTTGGTTCATGGGTTCCTGCTGGAGGAGGTGTCATGTGGAGTCGGGGTTGGCTTACTGTGAAGGCAGAAGCGTCAACATGAAACGATGACGGTCTAATCGCACTCGAAAACACATCAGCATCAGCAGCGCTTGTAACCTTACCACATTTACCATTTGCTTCGTCCATCCCGGGTTGGGCAGCCATACAGCGGTGACTTCTCATGTTGCAATCACGCAGATCTGCCCAACTCACTGCAGTTGATTCTACTGCTAAGAGCACCCCATCCAAGCGCAGCACATGGCTTACGTCGTGCATGAAGCGCTACGGCTCTTCTTTTCCGCGCTCCAGCTCAGAGGAACTTGCCCAGCGTCGGGTCTTCGTGGAAGACAGTAACGCCGATGTTTGATCTTGCCCCCCTGTTCTACTGCGAAAGGTCGCGGCGATGGAGGTCTCGACAGGCCGCCCATCAGGACTCTTTGCAGGGTTTAGGGTCTTGGTTCATGGGTTCCTGCTGGAGGAGGTGTCATGTCCTTGGCATAATTACGTCATTTCTCCGGATCATCGTGGAAGACAGTGACGGGGATGTTTGATCTTGGCTCCTTGTTCAGAGGGTTTTGGGGTCTTGGTTCATGGGTTCTGGTGGAGGAGGTGTCATGTGGAGTCGGGGTTGGCTTATTGTGAAGTGAAGGTAGAAGCGTCAACAGGAAACGATGACGGTCTAATCGCAGTCGAAAACACATCAGCAGCAGCGATTGTAACCTTACCACATTTACCATTTGCTTCGTCCATCTCGGGTTGGGCAGACATGCAGCTGCGAGTTCTCATGTTGCAATCGCGCAGACCTGCCCACAACTAACTGCAGCTGATTCTACTGCTAAGAAAGGGCAGCGCATGGCCTACGTGGTGCATGAAGCGCTCTTGCTCTTCTTTTCCACGCTTCAGCTCAGAGGAACTTGCCCGGCGTCGGGAGGAGGTGCTCGCCAGCTTGGGCAGCTGGTGCCAAGCACTCAAGGCTGGGTTAAGGTAACGATAATTATAATTACTTATAACCCCAATTAAGGTACTTATAACCTTATACTTTATAAGTCCCATGATCTTCCTAGGGTTCTCAGGTTGTTCAAAATTTTTTTTGAGGTCAACGGCGCCATATGGATTTCGGAACTACTTCGAGTCGACTACAGACCAACGTGTGCTTGCAAGCCGGCCAGCCTCGGTAAACGTCCCAAGTTCGGAGTATGCAGCTTCACATGAAGAATACGTTCGTTGAAACAACACTTTTCGCACATGGATGCATGCACGTGGGCTCATATATACATGCACGCACAAAGTCCCGTGCGAAACCCGCGCGAAGGGCGCGTGTGCCGCGCGCGAAGCGCGGGGCGTGCGAAGGGCGCGAAGCGCGCAAAAAGCCGCGCGAAGAGCCGCGCGAAGCCAACCGAAGGGCGCGAAGCGGCGCGAAGCCGCGCGGAGGCGCGCGAGAGGCGCGTGAGATGCGCGAAGCGGCGCGAAGCGCGCGAAGCAGCGCGAAGCGCACGAAACGCGCGAAGCGCGCGAAGGTGCGCGGAGGCGCGCGAGAGGCGCGAGGCGGCGCAAAGCGCGCGAAGGAGCGCGGAGGCGCGCGGAGCGGCGCGAAGCTCGCGAAGCGCGCGAAGCCCGCGAAGGTGCGCGGAGGCGCGGTGAGGCGCGCGAAGCGCGCGAAGCCGCGCGAAGCGCGCGAAGGCGCGCGGAGGGGTGCCATCAGCGGCGCGCGAGAGGCGCGAAGCGGGCGCGGAGGGGCGCCAGGCGCGAAGCGCGCGCGCGCGAAGCGGCGCGAAGGCGCGTGCGAAGCGGCGCGAAGCGCGCGAAGCCGCGCGAAGCGCGCGAAGCCACGCGAAGCGGCGCGCGAGAGGCGCGAAGCGGGCGCGGAGGGGCGCCAGAGGCGTGCGTGCGAAGCGGCGCGAAGCGCGCGAAGCCGCGCGAAGCGCGCGAAGCCACGCGAAGCGCGC